CCTGGTGACCTGGCCCCAGAAGCCTTTATCCTTTCAGTCTCCAAGGCAAGGATTTCTGAAGGTTTCAGGAAAAAATCCCCAAGCCCATCCCCCGCGACTTGAGAAACTAGTCTGTTAGATTCAAGACCCCAATACTTAAAGGGTCAATGGCAGAGGTAGGGGTTTCACAGACCTCCTTCCTGGTGGCCTCGGTGCTCCAGAGATGAGATTAGCTCAGTGGACAAACGTTGTGCCAATTCTTCGCAACTGCCAGAGTGGGGAACCAGCCGAGTTATCCGGTTAACAGAGAAGCCTCCAGACCTAATTAATTTACCAAGGTGCTGATGTGTCCACAAACACAGACACACAGAGACACAGAGACAGACAGACACACACACAACCCCCATCGGCTGCTACATCTTGATGCAAATTAGTTAGATAGGGCCACCCCAGAGGTCAGAACCCCAAGCACAGAATCTATCCCCTCCCTTTTTCCCCTGGGGCCGGTCAGTTTCCTTTCAATTCCGCCCTGACCACCCATTGCTATCCTTTTCTTATACTAAGTAGGTCCTCCCGACCTCCAGGCGTCCACTCCCCACTCCGCCCTGGGCGTTCGAACTGGACGTTCTTCCCACCTCCAGACTCAGACCGGGCGAGCGATTCCGCTCTAGGTAAAGCGGGATGACTGCCACCGACGCTGCTGATATCGTGGCCATTTATTATTTTCCCGAGGGGGAGTTTTCCGCTTTCTCCCTTCTCCTCACTCCACCCGCGTGGGACATTCCCGCTGCCGGTGACCGGGACCAAAGAGTCCCTGATGCGGGCGTCTGGGGACAAGAACGTCCCTCCTGCCGGAGCTGCAGGCACGGTCCTGCCTCTTCCCGTCACTCCGGCCGTTGCACGGGGGTGGGCGTCCAGACCTGGGACCGGGGAAAGGGAACCTGCTGGCGACCCCCTCACCACTCTGCACTCACCGAGGTACACCGCTACTGGCGCCCCCACTTCCGCCGGCGCCCCAGCTGCAGAGGCCCGGGCAGGCGGCTAGCCGCGGAGCCTGGGTTCCGCCCGCGCCGCCGCTACCGCCCCACGTGGTCACGGGCTGGCTCGCAGGCTTGGAAGCCAGCACAACTCGGGTCGCCACCCGGCCCGCGGCTTTGCGGGCACTTTGGTCCGCTTTTCCTGCCTGCGAGTTGGGGGCATCTGGGATGCACATTTTCGGCCCGGAAGAAACTGAGGCTCAGAGAGGGGAAGACTTCCTCCCTGCCGGGTTAAGGGCAGAGCCCGATCTTTGCATCCTCGTACCTCTACACATAAGCACTCCTACCCCTAGCCTCCAAGGGGAATCCCCGCTCCCCTACAGGAAACCTGGAGATCATGGTCTCAGATGCCGTATACCAAGAAGGTAGCTGGGCTGGATCAGGGGCGGTCATTTTGTCCTCCAGCTCTCCCTGCAGTCCCATTTTACAAAGGGGAAAACTGTGGCCTTGAGTGGGAAATATGAACCTCCCTACTCCAAGCCCAGTCAGAATTCACCTTCTCCATGCGGGGTCCTACTTACGCAGAGATCCTGTGGGCCTCTGCTTTCCGCTAGATCTCCAAGGCCTACTGCCAGGTACACAATTTGGTGGTCTGCAAATGTCTGTTGAAAGAATACTGTCGGCCAGGCGCTGTGGCTCACGCCTGTAATCCTAGCACTTTGGGAGGCCGAGGTGGGTGGATCACCTGAGGTCGGGAGTTCAGAACCAGCCTGGCCATCATGGTGAAACCCCACCTTTATTAAAAAGAAAGAAAGTAGGCCGGGCGCGGTGGCTCAAGCCTGTAATCCCAGCACTTTGGGAGGCCGAGGCGGGTGGATCACGAGGTCAAGAGATCGAGACCATCCTGGTCAACATGGTGAAAGCCCGTCTCTACTAAAAATACAAAAAATTAGCTGGGCATGG